TAAGTTCGTGAGGTTAGATTTTTAAGAGCCTAGTCGGATTCTAGCTTGCGTGGTTTCTCGGCCTTCTTTGTATGAGTGCATCAGAGAGCATCCGTATAACGACTCCCATTTTCTTGTTCTTAAGGACACAGTGCAGCACGGTGATGCCAATGAGGTTTTCTATTAGGGATGATGGGGTGTTGCGGATGCAAAGTCGGATTTGTGTGCTCAATATGGATGGGTTACATGATTTGATCCTTGATGAGGCCACAGTTCGCGATATTCCATTCATCTAGGTGCCGCTAAGATGTATCAGGAATTGAGGCAACACTATTGGTGGAGAAGAATGAAGAAAGATATAGTGGGGTATGTGGCTCGGCATTTTAACTGTCAGCAGGTGAAGTACGAGCATCAGAGGCCAGGGACATGAGATTCTCGAGTGGAAATAAGAGCGTGTTACCATGGACTTCGTTATTGGACTCCCATGGACTTTGAAGAAATTTGATGCAATTTGGGTGATTGTGGACCGGTTGACTAAGTCTTCACATTTTATTCCGGTTGTGACTACCTATTCTTCAGAGCGGCTGGCTGAGATCTATATCCATGAGATTGTTCACCTTTACGGTGTGCTAGTGTCATTGTTTCTGATCGGGGCGCGCAGTTCACATCACAGTTTTGGAGATCAGTGCAGCGAGATTTGGGCACACGAGTTGAGTTGAGTACAGAATTCCACCCCCAGACAGACGGATAGTCCGAGCGCCCCATTTAGATCTTGGAGGATATGCTACGCGCTTGTGTTATGGATTCAGGGGTTCTTGGGATCAGTTTCTGCCTCTTGCAGAGTTTGCCTACAATAACAGCTACCAATTGAGTATTCAGATGGCTCCTTATGAGGTCATATATGGGAGGCAGTGTTGATCTCCAGTTGGTTGGTTTGAGCCGGGAGAGGCTAGGTTGTTAGGTACTGATTTGGTTCGGGATGCTTTGGAGAAAGTCAAGTTGATTCAGGATCGATTTTGTACATCTCAGTCTAGAAAGAGAAGATACTAATCGGAAGGTTCATGATGTCGCATATATGGTGGGAGAGAAGGTATTGCTCAGAGTATCACCCATGAAGGGTGTGATGAGGTTTGGAAGGAAGGGCAAGTTGAGCCCTCGTTATATTGGCCCTTTTATGGTGCTTGAGAGCATTGGAGAGGTGTCCTAGAAGCTTGTATTGCCACCTAGTCTATCGGGTGTTCACCTAGTGTTTCATGTTTCTATACTCCAAAAGTATTATGGTGACTCATCTCATGTTTTGGACTTCAGCACGGTACAGCTAGATGGGGATTTGACTTGTGGAGCCGATGGCCATTTTGGATTGACAGGTTCAAAAGTTGAGATCAAAGAATATAGCTTCAGTGAAAGTTTAGTGGAGAGGCTAGCCAGTCAAGGAGGGTAATTGGGAGACCGAGCGGGAGATACAGAGTAGATATCCACACCTATTTTAGACTCCAGGTATGATTCTAGACCTGTTCGAGAATGAACATTTGTTTAAGAGGGGTAGAATATAATGATCGACCGGTCATTTTATGTATTGTAGCCCCTTTCCCCCAGTTATCACTTTTTCTATAATCATTTGTGTTTATGTGACTTGCCGGGGTGGTTGGTTTGGTTCCGGGGATGTTTCAAAGTGAATTGGGACACTTAGTCCCAAGGTTGGAAACTTGAGTTGAAAGAGTTGACCGGGTATGACTTTTGTGTAGACGACTCCGGAATGGAGTTTTAATGGTTCCAATAGCTTCATATGGTGATTTTGGACTTATGAGTATGTCCGGATATTGATTTGGAGGTCCATCGGTCATTTTGGCTTGAATTGGCGAATGTTGGAAAGTTAAAGGCTTTGAAAGGTTGAGAAGTTTGACCGAGAGTTGACTTTTTTGATATCGGGTTTGAATTGTGGTTCCGGGAGTTGTAATAGTTCCATTGCATCATGTATGACTTGTGAGCAAAATTTGAGGTCAATTGGAGTTGGTTTGATACGTTTCGGCATTTGTCTTAGAAGTTGGAAGTTCATTAGTTCATTGCGCTTGAATTGGGGTTTGATTCGTTGTTTTGATGTTGTTTGACATGATTTGAGGCTTCGAATAAGTCTGTATCATGTTTTAGGACTTATTGGTATGTTTGGATGGGATCCTGGGGGCCTCAGGTATGATTCAGATTGAAATCGAATTGAGTTTTGGGCTTAAGGAATTGCTTAAGCTTAAAGCTTCTAGTGTGAACCTGCATGGTTTTGGCCGCAGGTGCGAGACCGCAGAAGCGGCCCTAGGGTCGCAGAAGCAGTTTGGGCTGAGGCTGGGTAAATGCGAGGAATTTTCCACACCTGCGAGAGGAGCGCAGAATCGAAGAGGTAAGGAGGCATGGTTTTATGCAGATGCGGAGTTGAGGGCGCAGGTACGCATGCACAAGAGCGCATATCGTACCGTAGAAGCAAAGTTTTCCAGAATGTCTGGAGCCGCAGAAGCAGAGGCTTAAGCGCAGGTGCGCTTCCGCAGGTGCGAAGTATTTTTCCGCAGAAACGGATGGTCAGGATGTTAATGAAATTCTGCACCTGCGATGGTTTGTCCGCATGTGCGGTGGATGGGAGCGTAGGTGCGAAAAGCCTGGGCAGAAGGATTAAAACGAGGGTTTGAGTTAAATACAATTCCAAAAATTCTTTCACATCGGATTCTTTCTATTTTTTCTTTCAAACAAAACGTTAAAATACAAAAACAATCAGAATGAAAAGCGTCACTTTTATTGAAGAGGGTTTTGGCTACCATTGAAGAGGTAAGTGAAGGTTCATAACTTTTATTGATAATTATTGTTTACCCATTGATTTTACACCTAGATTATGTGTGTTTGAGGTAAAATTTGGGGAATTTTGGACTATGTATTAGAAAGTAGATTTGGGGATTTTAGGGTGGATTTGTGGTTGGAATTGGATGATTTTGGCATGGTTAGACTCGTAATTGAAAGGTTTTTCGGATTTTGTGAATTTTGTCGGGTTTTGAGGTGCAGTCCCGTAGTTGACTTTTTGATTTTGGTTAAAGATCTAAGCTTTATCATAGGAATTGATTCCTATAGCTTGTATTGATTATCTTAAGTTGTTTGCGACTAGATTCGAGTTGTTCGGAGGTCGATTCGTGAGGCAAGGGTTTGTTGGAGCTTTGAGTTGTGCGCTTTGAGGTAAGTAACATTTCTAAACTTGAATTTGAGGGTATTTAACCATGAGAACTATGTTATATGAAAGATATTGGGGTTACATATGCGCTAGGTGACGTGTGTGTGTGTGCACCGGTGTATTCATGGTTTTGGGAGGCCTCTAGGCTATTACCGGGCTTGTCTTGCTATCATATCATGTTATCCCCGCGTTCCCTCTTCTTGTTTGATTATTTGAACTGTAAATCATGTTAGACATCATGTCTAGTCTATGTGCTAACTATTTGAGACTTGATAGGGCTATTCTTATTGTTTCTAAGTTATATACCTTATTTGCACACATGTTCTCAGTCATGATACTATATCGATGTATGATATCTCTGCGTGAGTACTTCTTATTTGATTCCTCACATATTGTTGATACCGCTAAAGGGTAAAACTGTTAAATTGAGTATTTGAGATGTGTTTATCTCATACTTGAACAGTAAATGATTGAGTTTGGGCCTTAGAGCCGGTTTGGTACTAATTTTGAGGTGACGCGTACGCTAAGCCCATATTGGGCTAAGTGTTATTATTTTGGGGCGATGCGTGCACCATGCCTCCTTATTGGGCTAAATGATTATAATTAGCGCTTGGGAAAGATCCGCCCCTCTGGAGTTTGACATGCCAGCAATGGGCGCATGCATAGTATTTCACATATGTGCTTGATAATGTGCAGTTATGCCAGGCACCCGTACAGTGCTAAGTGTAAATATTCTTGATGGATCTACTCTGATACTGTTGATTGACCTGTATACCTGACATGTAGGCATAGAGATGTAGTTTCCTCATGTTACCTGATAATTGACCTGCTTTATCTGTGTTGGGCTTTAATTGTTATACTTGAAACATGCCTAAATTACTAAAATGTGACCAAGCTGAACTTGATATTATTGAGCTACTGTTTCTACAGTTTATCCTTTATATTCTGAACTGTTATCGGGTATTGGAATTGGTATTGGACTGTTGTTCTGAGCTCGTCACTACTTTCAACACAAGGTTAGTGTTGTTACTTATTGAGTACATTGGACCGGTTGTACTCATACTACACTTTGCACTTCGTGTGTAAATCCAAGTACATCCGGTCGAGGTGATTTCCAGGCTTGAGTTGTTCCGGACTTTTGGGAGACTACGAGGTAGCTGCCATATCGTCTGCAGTCCTTGAAGTCCTCTTTCTGTTATCTTTATCTTTACTGTTCTTACATTCAGACAATTGTATTAGAGGATTTTGCTTGTACCTTGTTATTCAGTAGTGCTCGGGTACTCGTTGACACCAGATTTTGGGATTGGTTGTAGTAGCATTTTGGCTCACTTATCATATATTTTTATGACATTCTTTCGTTGTTACGTTATTAGATTATATTTAACTGATTTTATTATTATTATTATGTGACTGTTGGCTTACCTAGCGGGGTGGGTTAAGTGCCATCACAGCTTGTGTATTTTGGGTCATAACAACTAATGAAAATACTAAAAATAGGTTGACTTAGCGAAACAAATTGTTTTGATAAAATAAATTTAAAATGACAATATAGGTGGTTGAGTTAGCGAAAGAAATTTATGAGACGCACAATTTTGAAAATTTTTGTCCACAATTTGGAAACCCTTATTATTAGGGAATTTTAAGGTTAATATTTGGCCTATTTTTTAGGTTTTAAACAATCTTGTGGTAATTAGATGAGTTAGATAACTTTTGGACATAATAGTTCTCTGGACATTCGGAACCAGCAATAGCCTGTAAAACGAGTCGTCATTTTCGGGCCTCTTAACGTATATATAAGAGCACGTTAGAAAAGCGCATACAGTGAGGGAACTGCATGTGCTTCGTTTTGGGGTTAATAAAACTAAGGACTCTATATTCACTTTGAGTCCTTCTTTGTTCCCTGTTTATCTATTTTAATTCTTGTTTTACATTTTCGGTTCCCTCCACAAAGTGATAAAGAAATATAATTTTGTGGATAATCAAACTCTCCACGTGAACAATATATATGCACAGTTGAAAAAAATAAAAGATATCTATTCCAACAAAAAATAAAGAAAGAAAGAAAACCAATGGCTCATGCTAATGAAAAAGAGAAAGATACCAGAACAGAGGAGGAGAAAGCCATAGATGCATGGCTTCCCATCACATCCGATCGAAATGCGAAGTGGTGGTACTCTACTTTTCATAATGTCACTGCCATGGTTGGTGCTGGTGTCCTCAGTCTCCCTTATGCCATGTCTGAGATGGGATGGTATGTTTTCTGTTTTGTTATCTCTCTTTTCTGGGGGATTTGCGTTTCTTTTTCTTTCTTCCTATATCAATTTTAGTCCAGAATAATTGTTCGTTTATGTGCATTATTCCCTACATTTTAATTTATGTGTCTTACTTTTTTAAGCATATTTCAAAAATAATATCACCCTTCTATATTTATTAAATTCTTAATTCCGACATTCACTTTTTACCCTTCATAACACTCCCGACTCCCTCGTAGGAATGACATGTCATGTTTA